AAAGATGCAAACAAAACAGAGTGTACAAGAGGAAAATTGAAGAAAGTTCAACTCCAAGTTCGCAGTTCGACAAATTCGCCTCGGCTTGTACCTAAAGGTCGCGCCATCAGTCAGAGATCAAGGGTAAGACTTAACACAAAAACTTTGTTTTCGGTCATATGCTACCCCCTCACAATTCCCTCTCAATAAATTGGTGTTTAACATCTTACTTTTCAGACGAGAATTAAAAGTGTTTGGAACAAGCATTTACAGCAGTGGAACCGAGGTAGCACTGATATGTCTGTAAGTATAACGGTCTTTCAGTAGAAGTAAGTTGTGAGAAAAAGATACGTGAACGAGGGTTGATTTCAATTAGGAAATAATGTGAGGGGATACCAAACGCGATGAAATTTTATCTCTGGAATTTTTTGGTGCATAAACTTTTACCAATGCAAGGAAACAATGTGGCTATGTGACACAAATTTGAAAAAGATTTTCCAGGACTAGTGATAACATGTAACACTTAATTTATTTCTTCGATGCAAAAATTTTTAAAACTACTTTCAGATTTATTTTTTTCTCCTTATCTTGTATCCACCACTGTCAGCTGACACAAAGAATAATAAAAATTCAAATCTTTGAAGAAATTTCACTGAAAGTTGACAGAAATTTATTAAATGGTATACGACACAAAAGATTGAGACAGAGATAGTTTTGGAAAATTCCAAACGAGCTGAAAACAAACAAACCAAACAGGAACCAAAACATGTACAGACATTTTTGCAATGGTTAATTTTTTCACTTCCAACAACCCTAACATCTTATCTAAGTTTTTCATAGGATGTCAGTTGAAAAATGTAATCCAAATTCATGTTCTTTTCTCCTCAAATTTATCTTAAGTATGAGAGTAAAGACACAAGAACACCAACATTTGGAGAGAAGGAATTTCTCAGAATTATAACACCTAAACCCCTCATTCAAAGCCAAGCAGTACGCCACATGCTCCTTGACTGTTGCGAGTCACCAAGTTTTTCTCCAGACAAGAGCATGGAGGTTAGTCCCACAAGAAGCCTAACATCTTCAGCATCTGGCTCAAGCATTCCTAGCCAAGTTTTTGCTGATATATTAATGAAGAGAGAGCCGCAAGTAGTCTTTCCCAAGAATAGCAACTTCCAGGCTTGTATAACCCCATCTAACTACTCAACAAGTAGTGCAGCTTCTCACATTAGACACCGAAGTACAGGAACACCCAAAGATACTGAGAAAGATACAATTAAAGAAAATAATTATGATACACAACGCAGCTCAAGCATATCTTCCAAGTCTTCGTTTCCAAAAATTGGTCCCTTTATTTCCGGTTAAAATTATTAAAAAAACATGAGCATTGCTTGTCTCACTTGCAGCATTAATGAGTATAATCTCACTTAAAAAGTTTTGTTTATTATAATAAACTATAATCAATTTGTATAAAAATGAAAAATTTGACATTAGTCATTGAAAAAAAATTTATTTTGAGGGACTTATTACAGCAAATAATAATCATTTCTGGCATTTTTATTTGTTCCTCTACAGTGGCAAGGAGCCCACTAAAATGTCCAAATGTTAAGCATTATAACATTGGCGTTTTATTACAATTAAAATTTGGCTTGTGTGTATGTATGTCCTTCTGTGGGAAAAAAAAGGCATATCGTCTCCAAAGTGGCTGGTGTCCTGGCTTCCCAGAAAAAAGATTATCATGGCATTAACACTTGGTCATCAATTGATGATATAATTTTTGTGTTGATTGTGGTTTATTCATAAGTGTGAGCCTTGAGTCCAAAATCATAATCAGTGACACTTGGCAGGGATTTTTACTGGATTGTGTGATAATTTCAAATAAAAAAATTTAATTCTTAATTTAATTCAAATACTTCTTCAGTGTTTAATTTGTGTTTTTCTGCTACTGAACCAGTATTAACTTTACAGTTTTGATCCATTCAGGTTCCAGTTGTATTCGCTATAGGTAATATTAATTGAACTGTCACTATCTGCAACTTCCAACAAACTTTTTAGTTTCTGCTGTTCATCTTTGCCCAGGTGATGAGAAATCCAGCTAAGGAGAAAAACAAGAATTGAAAATTGCACAAGGTATAAACTTCAAATTTACATTTTTTCACAAAAAAGTAGCTCTTTAAATACCTTAAACATTCTCTGTCTGTTGATCCAAAATCTGTCTTGTACCACATAAATATTCTTGAAAGAATTACCTAGAGAATTAAATTAGTTTATCATCAGAAGATTTATGGAAAAGTGTATGGATCTTTAGGAGGAGTTCCCATTTCAATTACATTTGTCCAAGATTAGTTGGTATTCTTGACATGTCCATGCAGATGACAGGTCAGCTGCCTCCTGGCATGAGACCTAGGGGGAGCATTAAGGAGAGCAAGACAGCTGAATTCTAAATTCTCAATTATGCTGTAAAAATAGTGTCTTAGCGTGTACTAAGAACACGCTTGCAAAAATATAACAGTACAATAGGAACAATTTCAGCCTTATTAGTTATGACCAAGAATATTTTCAAGTGAGGATTAAATCCCTCTCTGCAATACTGAACCCTTTCACAGAGATCCAACACAAGGATGATCCATTTTAGTGCTGTCTTCCCCTTACAGGCTTGCTATCTGGCATAACTTTTGGCTTTCAAGCATATCCCCTCCCCTTTGAATTTCTAATGCCCATCCTTTGGGGTGGGTGTTGCTAATTTCTGGAAGAAAAAATGGGAGGAAAATAATATTTTTTTACCATATTATTGTCAACACGAACTTCTTGAGAACAAAAGTTCTTTGCTGCTGCATCAAGTCCTCGTTCAAGGTTTTCCCCTGAGAATACTCTAATGGCAGGACAAGACTGCAATATTCACATAATAAAAAGATGTTACATTTTGAAACTGGAATGGTTGGAAAAATTATAGTGTATTAAGAATGCAATTATCATTCACTACTTGGTGAAATAAGTGCTTTGAATTAAATTCAATATGATCATAAAAAAATACCTTTGCACCACAAACCAAAGCAAAATGTATCCTAGGATCGACTTCTTTGACAGTGAACTCAAGGCGAGGATCATCCTCCATAAATAAGGGCTTTCCATCTGCTGGGTGTGGTCTGTTACCTTAAAAAGACGGAAAGTGGGGTATTCTTAGACTGGTACGATGGGGAGTATTTTTGATATTTAGACAGGCTTGCTCAGTTCAGCTTTAAAGCTTGTTTAAATGGGGGCTTGTGTTAACAATAACAAGGCCACATCACAACACCAAGAGCTATGTTCCCTACTCGTTGTGAGAAGTATATGGGTTCCTTTACGTCCCCTGACAACCAATACAGAGAAGATACAGGCCCACAGGTTATTGTCCTCACTTCAATTCAATGTCTAATTTTTTATTCCAGAGTAAAAGCTTCGCCATCAAGCAAAGCCAGGCAGTAAATAACTTTCATTCTAAATTGAGTAAATTAAGTCTTCACTTGTCCTGTGTACTTAAGGTTAAAACGACAAAGTCTGCTCTTTAGCCTGCTAACCCACAATGCTGCAGTTTGTCCTAGTCACTGTAGCTTACAGTGGCTGGTAGTATTGTTACTCCCCTCAGCTGGGGTCCCAGTCCATTCCTGGTTACTCCCCTGCATTTCTTTCACTTTTCCTGACAGTTCACAAGTACCCATGTTTACTCCTAGGACCCTCTGAGTGCATGAAGTTAGACACTGAGTAAATTACTTTACCCAAGAATACAACACCATGACCTGTGTTGGACTCAAAACCAGACCTCTTGGCCTGCCAGACCAGGTTGTTCAAAGCTGGATTAAGATAACCCAGGGTTAATGTGAAATCTGATTTGAGATCTAAAGTCCATATTAGAAAATTCAGTCCAATTCTTTCTGTTTACAATTTGATGTGTGAATGCCCCTCAAAGAATAAAGAAAATTATGCGAGAAAGGCTTTTGAACAAAAGGATAAAGAAACCTGGATTGAAATTTAACCCTAGGTTAGTGTCAATCAGCCTTTAAACAACTGGGTGTCCATCTCCCTCTCCAACCTTAGACAAGGCAATAAGAAAATTGCAAACTGATGAATTCTTCCAGCTTTATGAGGTAGGAGAAAACCACAAGGTCTGGTTCAAAAAGTCATCCATCCATACCTCTTAGAATTCCATGTTCAATGTCATCAAGAGAAAATTTCTGACCACCAATGTTGTATGATGTTTTTCTCCAGAAACTCTTGATCTCCAGCACTGAATTAGGTAACCCACTCTCACACATTGCTAAGCCATGAATTGTTAATGAATTATAAATATCTATAAATTATCAAGGAATCTTTTTCTTGGTCACTCTATGGAATCCACTCTATGTGACTCAACTGCCTGAAAATAATTGCACTTTCATTATACCCAACTTCAATTTGCATTACACTTTGAAAAAGGAAGGTGTCTTGCAAGAGAAAAGAAAAGAAAGCTGTGGAAGAGAGGGGCAAATAATTTGAAATGGTACAGGTTTCAAAGTTAAACTTTGTTGAAGAATTGTTCTCACAATGAATGCGTTGACATCTAGGAGACTCCTGTACCTAGATCAGTTAAGCGTAAGGGTTAAGAATTGAATAAAATACTGCACATAAAACCCATTTACCCACCTGGTACCCCTCCCCCACTACCACAAGGTCCCTAACAGAACGGGGTTATCTTTCCCCCATTTCTCCCGTGACATCAGCCCTGGTCTTAATTCAGGAGACCTCACTCCCATCATGCCATGCATTGAAGTTGTTTAAAGTTTGTGCTTGTTAAAACAGGGAGCAATCAAACCTCACAGTGAGAGGATACTTAAAAAGAAGGCTATCTTCTCCGCCCCATCTAAACTTTCCAGATTCACTGTTTTCAGAGCTTGAGTTCCTTCGACATACTCCTTGAACAAAGCGCTGTCTTTCAACGCATTGTAATCAACTGCTCGGCCTTCTTCTGTAATAAAACTCCCCTCGATCTTTAACATAAGCTTCTGAAGTCGCGTAGAGAGCGCAACCGCAGAGACTTCTGATTTCTGCGTTTGTCCGCCAGCGTTCAAGACTTCTTCACCTTCAGTGGCCGACATGTTGGGTTCAATGGGTAGACTGGGCACTACTATGGAACAAAGAACTAAAATGGCTGTCGCTAGTAACTCAGTGGAGATAGATCCTGTGTTTATCAAGGCTTTGAAGCTTCTCCACTCAAAGCACCCTGATTCTCTGGACCAGCTTCGTGCCCTTAGAGATGAAGTCGTCAGACAGCACAACCAGCAAGCTCCCACGTCTTCCAAGGTACGAAATACAAACACAAATCTCAATGTTATCTCTTATATAATGCAAGCTGTAAGGACACAGGATCTAACATGTCCTTGATTTGACAATAAAAATAATCTAGGTATTCTGGTTGTCAGCGGGCTGGACACTTTCAAGCCTAAAAAACTTGTTAGTGCAACTGATTGAGCGAAACAACGTCGGCAATAATAATCAATGAGTTATTAACATGATGGTAAAGTGAACAATTTTCCTCATTTGTTGATGTAACATGACACCGCTAATTTCATGCAAATGTGAACAGCTAATTTTTTCCCAACAATTTGTTAAAAAAATAGAGCAAGTTGAATTGTCCTTTTTTTTCATGTGAATCAATCAACACTTGGTTGATTTAGTTAATATGTAATTCCCAGGATCAGCTTTCTGCAAGCTTGCAGGTGCAGGAGGTTGCCATCGTCATTGCTTGTTCTTTAAAGATGCAAGATTGATGAAAAGTTCTCTGTAAAAATTTGGGGGAAAGCTGAACAAAAGGGTCTCAGTGTGGTAAATGTCTCACAATATTCCTAACAAAATCCCACTCTGACAGTTGCAGTGATATGCACTTTCATTATCCTACTCTGCCATTGTAAGCTTGAGCCAAAATATTTCAATCATGGTACCCCAGCAAAAGAGTGTATTTCATGCAAGTAATTTGAATTTAAAATGAATTTATCTAAAATATGTGCAGGCAGAAACCTTTATCTTTTCTGTCATTGACAAAGTTTTTCACTACTAACATGTGAAGTATCCTCCTTATTGTCATCTATAACCTTACTTGAGTGCAACAAACAGCACTGGTGGAAACAGACAAGTATAATGGTGGGTGTTACAAGGCACAATAATTACCAACCTTAATTAAAGAACCAGTTTTACTATGATTTTCTGTTTTTTTTTCAACAAGGAGAAACCTAAAGAAGGTAAATTGGGACTTCACACTGAGAGGAGACCAAGTGCAATAGTATCAACAGCAGAAGTAAAGGCCAAATTGACTGAGAAAAAATTTGAAGCTGAACCAAAGCAGAATATTCCAACTGCAAAACCAGAGCCAGTTAAGAGTTTTCCTATTGAAGAGGCAAGTGTTGAAACATTGGAGGTTGGCTCAAGTATGATTGAAACTGTGGAGCTAAGCTCAAGCTCCTTCATGGATCAGAGTTCATCAAAGAAAGCTAAGCTTCAATTTGATGTTGAGGATGTTTTAGATGAAGGAGATTTAGAACCCCCAACAGCTCTGCAACCTGTGGTTGATGACTTAATGATTGACTGGGGATCTGTTTGCAGTATTTGTTGCAGGTTTGTTTTTCTTTTCATTGGTTTCTATTGATTGTCTTTGTTTGCTATAAATCTGGCCCTCAGTCAGTCAGTTATTCAGTTAGTCCTTACCATTTGCTCTGACGAAGGGCTAACACTCCAAACATCAGCATTGAAACTCATTATGATGGCCAATGCATGTCATCAACTCAGTTGATAACACTTAAAATTACCTGCTGTTATACTCTCCCACTTACACTGCTCAAGAGTTTCTCTAAAAACTTGCCCCTTCATTCAGTTAGTCTGTTTGGCAAACCATATGTTGGTCCTCCTACACTTCCATCCATTCATCCATTTATTAATTGCTCAGTCTACAATCAGACCATCACCTTCTGTTTGTTTTGGTGCAAGAAAAAATCATCAAGATCAAATTTTTTTTAACTTTCTAAAAATACTTTTCAGCTCTAATCCACTTGGCTATTTACATAGAGCTGCATAAAGCAAACATCTGAGTACAGAAGTGTTTTTATTTCATATATACTGAGATTCAGACTGTGAAGTACTGTTGTTCGTGTCTCTGATTGGACAAACAGTGTATTTTCACAATCATATGCTTTATATTTCACAATGTAAATCTTAGTATGTATGAAATAAAAACATCATACTATGAAAAGTACTTGAATGATTTTTATTCATGAGTTGTGGTGCATCAAAAAAACTCACTCATTTGCTGTGCTCAGTCATTAATTTTTTTGATGCATTGCAACTTGTGAATGAAAATTGTTTGTGCACTCTTTCCATGGAATAATCTCAATTTATGTGGATCAAGACAAAGTTTGTGCAGTTTCACCAATCAAGATTTGGACGAAAAAGTGTGAATGGTTGTACTTATTGGAAATTTCCATGATAACTATAAGCAAATTAATATTATTATTATGGAATTTTAGGTAAACTTTGGAACTTGGCCAAAATCAAAAATTGTTCAATTGCTATGGTTTAGTCAAGGTAAAAACAAAGTATCTAATGTTTTATACTGTTCAATCCATATTGTTTTTGTTCATTTTCAGAGATGAGAGCAAAATTCCTGGGAATCAGCTGGTAGAATGTCATGAATGTCATTCACTTTATCATCAGGTACAGGGAAGAGAAACTCACAACAATTAACAGAGGTTGTTTGAGTACTTAAGTCAATATTAAGACAATATTCTCAGCAATATGAACTGTTTTCCTCTAGATATGTAATCATGATTATAAATCTTTTTTTTACAGAGATGTCATGAACCACGTGTTATGGACAGTGAAGTCAATGATCCACGACATGTATGGTACTGTGTACAGTGTGTCAGGAGAATGAGAGAGATGGTATTTCTCATTTATGTTTTATTACTTTGTACCCAAATCTTGTCTAAATTTTTCTGTTAGTTTTTTACTTCTCACTTTGTGTAGCATTGCATTGCTGCAATGGTTTAGCAACCTCTTTTTGATATTGAAATATTGTTGCACAAATCTTGAGATTCTGTTACCTTTGGAAACAAGTAAGATTGCTGGCAGCAACACTGTTATTGTACAGTCATAACCCTGTCGCCAAACATTTGCCATGCCTCACTCAACTGATAATTATGGTAACACAGTGGTTAGATGATACTTTCCAGAAGCTCTTTTATGTTTGGATTGTAAATTCCACTTTTTATCCCTGTCCACTGCAAAAGTGTCACTGTGTACTCCTAATTAATCATACCATGCATCAGAACTAAGGACTCCAAATTATGATAGTTTCAACATAATTTTCAGAAAGTCAAACTTAGCTCCTAAACAGGTAGCTGACAGGTTACTGACAGGTAACAGACAACAGATAGAGCGCATGGTCTGACAATTGATTCTGTAGTCTGATTGGCCAGGTGAGGGTTACCCAGAAAGGACTGTTGTCAACATCAGAGTCAACATCAGAGTCAGGGGATGAGTTCTATTAGGGTTGTCAAAACATCAGTCACCATCACCGATAACAGTCCTTTTCAGGACTACTCTTACATTACATGCCTCATTGTTACCCCTGGGTTTCAAACTGTTTCCTTTGGGACAACAAGGATGCAAGTAGAAATTGTAAAAGCAGAGTCCATAATTTATGCATTCTACATATTAATGTACTTTTTGCAATCATAGCCAAATTTTAGAATACTTTGTATGCACTAATTTTATCATTTTTTAATTTTTAAAATTATTTCTGCAGGCTAGCAGTGCATCTCCAAAGTCACGCCCAACAGAGTCTGCAACATTCAGTAAACCACTGTCTTCCTCTCACAGACCTGTGCCTTTAGCACCCTTCAAAAGACCCTCCATTAATGAAACTAAGGTAAAAATATTTATGTAAAAAGAAACTTGATTACTGAGCATTCTTTTTATTACCTTCTCAACAGTCTGAAACCTTATATTGTAGGACTTTTTAATTCTTAATCTGTTTTTAATTCTTAATTTCTGGAACCCTCAAGGTGAATGGGAAGTGAGGTTTTCTTAGACATTCCCTCCCTTCTGTTTCATCTTGAGGAGGAGGGTATGGCTACACAAACAAACACACAAACAAACAACTTTATTTAAGGAGGGTAAAACACAACAGTAATTCAACTGATGAACTAGTGGCTCTTGATCTTCAAAGTACCATAATTAGAAGTAAAATGCATTTGAGGATTATAAAACTGGTTGACAGGTCTATAATAATTTATATAATAAGCTCAGTTATGCACGCATTCTGATTGGTTCTC